CTTGGATCTTTGCCAAAATCTATCTATGCATATGGCCAAGACTGCTTGAAATTCATTTGTGGTTTAGTTTGATTTTATTATTATTTTTAATAATTCTGTCCTGCCACAACAATAATTCTTTTCGCTGCATGCTAGTGGACCAATAAAAATCTCAATTTTATTAAATTTAAAGATATTTTTATGCTTATAAACAATTTTATATTAATAAAAGGAAGATTTCATTTATAATTTTAACACTGTAAAATGATTATACATGAATTTTATTAAATTATCTTGAAATGCATTAACCCTTGGTATACAGTCAGGGTTCTTTGAACCCAGTTTTAGTTTGAAGTTGTTTGTTTGTTTGGTAGGAAGGATTGTATTATATGACTTTTATTCTTTTTTAATGTTTCAATGAATGTGTTTTCAATAGGAAGAAACATTATATCTTGTTATTACCATGTGTATCCATTGGAACTTTTTATAACTCAAACATACATTATGGAATCTTAGTGATCTTATTTTTCCTGTATCTTTAATCATTTTGCCCTTTTATCATTTTGGAAATTAATTCATCATTTACTTCCAACTGTATGATATAAAGACTAAGATTATAAGCCAAAGGAAGTTAATGAAAGTGCCTAGAAAGATGATGCAGTAGTGAAATATGTCATCATTATTGTATCATCTTCAGTTTTCTAATAGCATAGCCTGTTAATACTGTATTATCTTTCAAGAGTGAAAAAAAATGTTTGGAGATTATCTTTGTAGTCTTTCTATTTTGTTTTAAATTTGTCGTAAGTATAGTTGAGAAGTCAGTATTTTTTATTTTCCATCCCTAATGTTAAAGAGAAGAAAGTTGGCATAGGAAGATGCTTCAATTAGATGAGTCACTGGATGAGTGCGAAGAGACTGATAATAGCATTCTATACATGATTGATGATGGTGACATGGAGTGTATAAGCAACATCTCGGACTGTTGTCTTCAGATGACAGTATCCAAGATGAATTTTCTCAAACTCAAGGATCAATGAGTGAACAATATAGTTCTTCCCCCACCAGCTTAATTGAGATATAATTGACATATCATATTTTATAAGGTGTGTAATGTGATGATTTGATATGCACATGATTACCAAAGTGAGGTTAGTTGACATATCCATCACTTCACATAGGTACCATAACAATATAGTCCTAAAGACAAAAAGGAAATAACAGTATTTTCCTCCAGTTAGTTGCTTATTAGGAAGGACTTCATTCAGTATTTTGTGACAGGAACCTCGCCTGCCCTATCTTGGTTCTTTTATGATGTTGACACAGCACATTTTTTGAAACAGAAGTGTACAAATACACACGGCTGGTGTGTAACAAGAGATTGGAAGGAAGTAGATGACATGAAAATGACATAATTCTTTGGATTGATCACTGTAACTGGTATTAATAAATCTAAAAAATAAAAAAAATATTTTGCAATTACGTAACAAGGAAGATTTCTGTCCTCCTTTCCTCAGTATAATTTTGAGCTGTCCAAGTTTTCCAAAGTGACACATTTTGAATTATTCAAGTACAAGAAGAAGACTCAGAAGTGATTGAGCTTCCCTGGTGGCACAGTGGTTGGGAGTCCGCCTGCCGATGCAGGGGTCGTGGGGTCGTGGGTTCGTGCCCCGGTCCGGGAGGATCCCGCGTGCTGCGGAGTGGCTGGGCCTGTGGGCCATGGCCGCTGGGCCTGCGCGTCCGGGGCCTGTGCTCCACGGTGGGAGAGGCCGCGGCGGTGGGAGGCCCGGGTACCGCAAAAAAATAAAAAATAAAATAAAATAAAAAAAAAAGTGATGATTAAGCTAGAACCTTTTAGACATGTATTTGAAATCTGGAATTGGTATTTACAGGGTATTTCCAAGTTCATGCATGACAGTTGTTGAGCTTTCAGTTCCAAAGTGCCTTGCCCATTTCAGATATGTTATCCTTCAAAACCAGGAAAATATAGAATTAAGAACTGGGTTTGCCATGTGTAAATTCTTATTAAAAATTCTAACGAAGTTGTTTTACATTATCTCTTTATTCCTCTGTAAATTATTCATAAGTTGACCTAAGTAGTGAGGAAATGTTCATTGGACCCAGATGGTAAATGGTGATGCCTGTTTTTCTTGGTATCCTGAGCGTTAAATGAATTCATTAAAATTATAAAGAACTGATTTTGATTTAGACTGATAATTCCAAAATCAAATTAAGTCATTTCTTGGTATAATAAATGTTACACTAAATATTTTGTTAAAACCAGAATATCTTTTTCTAAAAATTTTATGGAATCACCCTATAAAAATGACAGCTAAGTTGAAATAGACATTGTTCAGTCAGCTTTTAATTTATCACTGGGTAGGTTTTATTTTTTTCCCATTCACATATATATATATGTATGTATTTTTAGTGTTCATTAGAGAAATCTTTCTTCATTTTGCCTGTCATGCCTACCAACCTAATGTTTAAAGACAGGCTATTAATGTATTTTAGTTTCTAAACTGAATTTTTCCTTCTAAACCTCATGAGAGTTGCAAAATTTGTGAGACCTTCATTTGAATTCTTTCGCCTTTGTTTCGTTTTTTTTTCTGCCCCCTCAGTACTTTTACTCCCGCTTTGGTCCTTCTTACCTCCCATAAACCAAATATTTTGGATAATTCTTTTTCCCTTTCTGCAGAAATCACTTTAACAAGTGTTTGCTGTACAAGTCAAGTCTCTTCCTTATTTTGTTTATGAAGAGAGTATGGAATATTTTTAAATAGACATGTATACAGGCTCTAATATTTAAAATCATTGTTGAAGTTAAAAATAAACCAGTAGGGGGCTTCCCTGGTGGTGCAGTCTAGTCGTTGAGAGTCCGCCTGCTGATGCAGGGGACACGGGTTCGTGGCCCAGTCCAGGAAGATCCCACATGCCGCGGAGCGGCTGGGCCCGTGAGCCATGGCCACTGAGCCTGCACGTCCGGAGCCTGTGCTCCGCAACGGGAGAGGCCACAACAGTGAGAGGCCCGTGTACCGCAAAAAAATAAAAAAATAAAAATAAATAAACCAGTAGACCCACTGACAAGCTAATGAATCACAGTATTTTGTAAAATATTCCAGTTGTTAAATATATTGCTTGCAAATCTCCAAAAAAGCCTAATTTTTAAATGTGTGTTGACATTTAGGTATTTGTAACTGACTGTACTCAGGTAGTGTTCAACACTTGGCAGCATTCTTAAGTAATATGTATGTAAAATCAAGTAAGCCAACTATATGTCGGTGATTCAAAAATAACGTGGTTGGTTGCCTTTCCACTGAAAGAAAATGAGTCAGGTTAATAATACTAGCTTTAAATCAAGCAATTTTAACCTTAAAAAGTTTTAAAAAAAACAGGTTTCTATGAAAAGCTCTTTTTCTTTTTGTTCATGTAATTGGTGCTGTTTATAGAATATTCTTTTCAAAGAAGTTAATGAAAAATAACCACTTTAACTTAGAATTTTCTGAGAACGATTATTCCTCTTTCCTTCAGATCTATTCTAAATTTGTTTCTTGCCCACTCTTCTACAGGATGATGTGATAGCTTAGTGTAAACACATAGTTGTTCTTTTATGTGTTACAGTAACCACATTTTCTAAACTAAAAATTGGCGTAAGTACCCTAATACATTTTTTAAAATAATGACTTTGTCTTATAAAAAAAATTTTAATCACATGTAACATTTTATCCTTATTGATAACAGTGTCACACACAAAGAGAGAGCAAGGGTAGGGAGGAGGAGTATTTTATTATATATTAGGAACATTCTAGAAACTTAGGGCTATAGATTCACCTGTAACCTGTATTCTGCATCTGCTAGGAATGGACCTCATTTAAAAAAATTCTACATGGAGCACATGTGTGGGGATTTTAAGACAGATACATTAAGCCTTTGATAGACCTGAATGAGCATCTGAAGGATCACTCTTCTGTTTTTAATAAGTCATGGTAAGAACTAGGGATGAATAAGCTTGTGATGATATGTAAACGTTTGTATGACTAAGACTCACAATTTGCACAGGCCTACAAAAGAATCTTATACTTGTTAGGGCTTCCAATTCTTTGAAAACGGAAATTCTCCAGATTACTTATGGGATGTCTGATGTTTGGGGCATGATATCAGAGGTGAATCCGTTGTGTCGGCCTCAACCTCACATCAGACTCGTTAGATTGAGTCCATGTCACGTGGATCTCTTCTCCTTTTTCGATACTTCTCTTGTTCCTTCCTAAGCTCCTCATAATGTAAGGAAGCTCATTCTAGCCCCTCATAGAGCTGTGGTGCTATAGAAAAGACTTAGCATTCACATCACTTTGCAGAAAGGTGTTTATGAAAATTCAGAAACTTGGTGGACTTTTGAAGACAGTTATGTAACATTAAAGTGTTTTCTCTTCTCTGATTGGATCATTTTAACAATGTGGATTAATCCATAGGCTTTCCAGTAGAGATTTCCAATTGAATAGGAATAACAATAACATAAATTACTGAAGAAGTGACTACAATGCATGTATGTGTATATTGTATATATACACTTAGAAACTGACAAGTGCGTATTTTTCTGCTTACAGGTGTCACAGCATAATTCTAATGCTTCACCTCCTTAACTATTTTTTATTTGTTTATTTTATAGAACACTGATATTTGCATTTATTGTGGAACAAAAGGTGAAGAAGGAGAAGCAGTATATTCACTAAGGATTCTATCTGCTTGCTGCTGCAGACCTGTGTGTTGAGGAATTCTGCTGCTGCTTCTTGCTTGGGAGTTATCAACTCCACAGTCAGGCTGCATTGGGAGTCTGCCTGCCTTTTGTCTCGTCATTGCCAACCAGCAGACCAATCCCGGTCGGGACGGAACAGTACACCTCTGTCGAATTACTATGGAAGGTGAGAAACCAACATTCACTAATTGAAGTTACATCTCACTCACCCACAGAAAACCATTCTTCAAAGTGAATAGAAACCAAGCCTTTGTGAACACTTCTGTTGAACATGACTCATGGAGAAGAGCTTGGCTCTGATGTGCACCAGGATTCCATTGTTTTAACTTACCTAGAAGGATTACTAATGCATCAGGCAGCAGAGGGATCAGGTACTGCCATCGACAAAAAGTCTGCTGGCTGTAATGAAGAAGATCAGAACTTTAACATTTCTGGTAATGCATTTCCCACCTCTCAAAGTAATGGTCCAGTTCTCAATACACATACATATCAGGGCTCTGGCATGCTGCATCTCAAAAAAGCCAGACTCTTGCAGTCTTCTGAGGACTGGAATGCAGCGAAGCGGAAGAGGCTGTCAGATTCCATCGTAAACTTAAACGTAAAGAAGGAAGCTTTGCTGGCTGGCATGGCTGACAGTGTGCCTAAAGGCAAACAGGATAACACGGTACTGGCCTCTTTGCTTCAGTCGTTCAGCTCTAGGCTGCAGACTGTTGCTCTGTCACAACAGATTAGGCAGAGCCTCAAGGAGCAAGGATACGCCCTCAGTCATAATTCTTTAAAAGTGGAGAAAGATTTAAGGTGCTACGGTGTCGCATCAAGTCACTTAAAAACTTTGCTGAAGAAAAGCAAAGGTAAAGATCAAAAGCCTGATACCAGTCTCCCTGACGTAACTAAAAACCTCATCAGAGGTAGGTTCGTAGAGTCACCTCATCATGTTGGACAGAGTGGCACAAAGGTCATGAGTGAGCCCTTGTCATGTGCTGCGAGGTTACAGGCTGTGGCAAGCATGGTGGAAAAAAGGGCTAGTCCTGCCACTTCACCCAAGCCAAGTGTTGCTTGTAGCCAATTAGCATTACTCCTTTCAAGCGAAGCCCATTTACAGCAGTATTCTCGAGAACACGCTTTAAAAACACAAAATGCAAATCAGGCGGCAAGTGAAAGACTTGCTGCTATGGCCAGATTACAAGAAAATGGCCAAAAGGATGTGGGCAGTTTCCAATTCTCAAAAGGAATGTCAAGCCATCTTAACGGTCAGGCAAGAACATCATCAAACAAACTAATGGCCAGCAGAAGTACAACATTTCAAAATCCGATGGGTATTGTTCCTTCTTCCCCCAAAAATGCAGGCTATAAGAACTCCCTGGAAAGAAGCAATGCAAAACAAGCTGCTAATAACAGTTTGCTTTTACATCTTCTTAAAAGCCAGACCATACCTAAGCCAATGAACAGTCACAGTCATAGTGAGAAAGGAAGCCTTTTTGAGGAGAGCAGTACACCTACAACTATTGATGAATACTCAGATAACAATCCTAGTTTTACAGATGATAGCAGTGGTGATGAAAGTTCATATTCCAACTGTGTTCCCATAGACTTGTCTTGCAAACACCGAATCGAAAAACCAGAACCTGACCAGCCTGTTTCTCTGGATAACTTAACTCAGTCCTTGCTAAACACTTGGGATCCAAAAGTCCCCGAAGTAGATATCAAAGAAGATCAGGATACCTCAAAGAATTCTAAGCTAAATTCGCACCAGAAAGTAACCCTTCTTCAGTTGCTACTTGGCCATAAGAATGAAGAAAATGTAGAAGGAAACAACAGCCCTCAGGAAGCACACAGTGATGGGACAAAGTTCAGCACACATAATTACACGCGGACTTCTGTCATAGAAAGCCCTAGTACCAGCAGGACTACTCCAGTGAGCACTCCACCATTACTTGCATCCACCAAAGCCGAGTCTCCCATCAACCTTTCCCAACACTCTCTGGTCATCAAATGGAATTCCCCACTGTATGCCTGTGGCCCTCAGTCTGAAAAGCCAACGGATACCGCATCGAACCACCTGATGGACCTTACGAAAAGCAAAGAATCGCAAGGGGAGAAACCAGTCCAAACTGAAGGCACACAAAACTCTGCCACTTTCAGTGCCAGTAAACTGTTACAAAATTTAGCGCAATGTGGAATGCAGTCTTCTGTGTCAGGGGAAGAGCAGAGACCCAGTAAACAGCTGCTGAGTGTAAACACAGAGAAACCTACAGGTATGACTGATAGACTAAATAGCCCTCTGCTCTCAAACAAAACAAATGCAATTGAAGAAAACAAAGCATTTGGCAGTCACGCAACAGGTCCTGAACCAGGACTTTCTGGTTCTGAAATAGAAAATCTGCTTGAAAGGCGCACCGTCCTCCAGTTGCTGCTGGGAAACCCCAACAAAGGGAAGCCCGAAAAGAAAGAGAGGATGCCCTTAAGAGATGAAAGTACTCAGGAACATACAGATAGAGCTTTAAGTGAACAAATATTGATGGTGAAAATAAAATCTGAGCCTTGCGATGACTTGCATACGCATAACACAAATGTGCCCTTGAGCCACGACGCT